TCACATTAAAAATCCGAAAGATAAAGATCTATAGAAAAAGTATCCCAGTGTGGTATTTGTTCGGGGTAAAATAATGAAACACACATAGGTTAATAACAGGAAAAATATCATCCCTCATAAAAATACTCGGATTTTACAGTATTTTCTTGGGATTATATTGTTACTGTTACGTTCAAACCTGTGTTATTTACATACTCATTGTAAATATACATTTACCAGACATAATGTTACAGAAAAAAACAACATTATATTAAAAGTTCTTTTGCAAACAGGTATAATATGCATACATGTATTCTTACATAATGATAAAGAGTTCAATCATAAAGCAGTTCAGTGAAATACTTATCAAAAGACACATGCACAATGCTATATGGTTAAAAGGTACCACTCAAAACAGACACAATCTTAACCGACTTTCTCCCACGGAAAATTCAAATTGACCCTTTCGAAACTGTTATACATGTGTATATATAAACAGTACCGATCTTGGTAAGACTGCGCGGGCACTGAGGGCAAAGTCTTATCACGTTCGGTTCATTGTTGAGTAGATGAAGTGCAGCTACACTATTTATGTAAGGTATTAGCATAAGCCATGAGTAAAAAAATCATCTTGTTAGAATTAATATCAGATAACAATTCAGTTTAAAAAAATAATCAAGATTTCTACGAAACAAACAGTTAAGGTAAGAAGATTAATTCCTTTATATCTTAAACTGTAATAACTTAAGTTAAACATTAAAGGTTATAAAATACAGACATATATCAACACACAAAGCTAGGTATTATGTCGAAAAACAACACTAACAATAATAAATATGAAACAAACAAATCATACAATAAACAATATTCAATTATTCTGAAATCAAATTCGTTTAAAAACAATTCTATCTAAAATCATAAATTGATTTCAGTGTATTCAAATCCATTTATTGAGTGGGATAGTTGTGTTCTTTTTAAACATTGTAACTGCGAAAATAAATGCACAGAAAAATTAAGTTCTTCAGATATAAATGATCATATCTTATCTATTAGAGATATGTTAAAGGAAGAAAAAGAACAATTAATTATGACTATTGTTAAACACAGTAAAAATATCAGACGCTGACACCAGGAGAGGCTCGAGAAAGCGCGACCCACTTACTGTGTATTGTTTTGAAGGAAAGAAAATATGCCGTCAGGCTTTTCATGATATTATATGACATTACAGACTTTCTCTGAGAGCTTTATGCGAACACGTACATGGTCATGGTGTATCTCCACGTAAACATGGCAATACTGGACGAAAGCCTATTCATGCTCTCCATTTTGACGATGTTATGAAAAATAGTGACATTTTTACGGTCGTATGCTGACGAGAATGGCTTACCACAGCCAGCTGCTCCGAGAGGACGTGGTGATCTCCCACCCATCTATTACATTCATCCTTGACAAAAGAAAGCCATTCATTCTATATTATGTTGATAGTGTACGATCTGAGAATGGAAAATGTGTTAAAAAGAGCAACATTTTGTCAGATATGGGAAAGTGTGTACCGCAGTAAAATTGTAATTGCTTCCCACGTCACCGATGTTTGTCAAAATTCGTGAACAATATCGCAAGAAGATGTCGATGCTCGAACAGAATCTGAGAAGATGACCGCGACGTCATCTATGCAAACACATATTCAGCTAGCACAAGAAGAAAGAAATCTTTATCTGACATTGATTCGTCAAAGTAAGACAGCCTTAGAGACAGCCGCGTTGCTCGGCAATATACCTAGTACAATGCACTATACATTTGATTTCGCCAAGAACGTCACGCTTTCCGCATCATACTTCTTGACACTGAAAAAGGTTACAATTTATCTACCATTTCTTTGTTTCTCATCTTATTTGTATTTACAATGCGTTATTTAGAATGCAGACTATAACTTATCAATTATCTACCAATTTTCAACGCGCTTTTTCAGTAATTTATGGTTGAATTTCAAACACGCATGAATAAATCTACGGACACAGGCTGGCCAGTGATAAAGTACCAAACATTTGAATTACATTATCATACTGCAACTGAAAAAAAAAACACTTTATAAAAATAAGTAACGGAAGTAGATTCTCGTCCAAAGACATTATTAGATAAACGTTCTACACATTCTAAAAATGCACGCATGTGCAAATTATACCATAATGAAGTTATTTCAATTTTTGTGCCAGCATTTTAGATTTATTCATCAAAAGTAAAACACGCATAATGGGTTTTTAATGACCGGGAAAAAATACCCCGGTATGGTTTTAAGAAATTAACATGCTTGTTTTATACATACATAATTCATTTTGAAAAAATTGTAAGAGAAAAACTAAAAATATAAGATGAATATTGTTAAGGTACAAGTATTTGGCTTCCGCACTGATGGAGATCCAATTAATCTGATCCTAGTTTTGATGAGAGCCAGTGCATCGGCGGGTAGACGGAAAGCTGTCACACGGTCCAAATGCTGTTACTTAGTATAGATGCACCATGCTTTCAACGCGTTGGTTAAACAGGAAGATAATTGTTCATATACATGCTGATAAACTGCGCTGGTATTTGATATTTTTCAACCTTTTTGTAGGAACTCTGTATTGAAATAAATAATCGAGACAAAAACTAAAATAAGCTTACTTGATAAATGAAAATATGTTTTAATTGCAATTTATGATTGATTCTTTTTTTATTTGTTGGTTTACGATCACGCAGATATGTACTGAGTCCCTATGTAAATGTATAAATAAAATGTGAATGAATGAATGAATGAATATATGAATGAAACCAGTAAAGTTCATAAAATAAATGAATAAATTAATTATTATTATTGCCAAAATTTACACATTATGTCCGTAATCAATTCCTTTTATAGGACAAAACAAAAACAGATATGTGTTAGCCTATCTTTCATGGCCGTGTTAATGACAGGACTGCACAAAAGTATTGACCTACACATGCAGATTCCTGAGTCACAGTAGATGTCTTGTAGACACTGGATTTTTGCAAATTTTAAGGAGATTTATACAGGTGTGTTTGCTAATTCTAATAGCTGATATAGAGGCGTCAATAGAATTTCATGACTATAATTGTTGTAAAATACCGTTTAAAAATATCCATATCTTTTTCATACTGGATTTTTTTTTATCATTCAGGGTTATTATATATATCATATATACGGTTTTCTATATCTATGGCTACATTACTGTTTATGGAAACAGTCACTGTCCATATGATTTCGGGCGACACTTTGTATAGTTACGTCGGTATTAATCCATTTACTAGCTTTAAATTCGAGAACGTTTACTCTTGTAGGGCGATGTGATGCAGATTCCTTGCTGATCTGTAAATCAAGTAAACAAAGTCTTCAACCGTAAAAACGAATCAGTTGAGCTACCCAGAATGGACATGGTTTGACTGGAAGACATATTAATCAGTACTACAAAAGCCCTACCGGGAATTTCATCATATCAACATTTCAGGTGTCAATTGTTTTTAATATATACTTTTTATAAAGATTTTATTTTATCATTCTTTTACCAATAAATTTACGTTGCATTCTAAAATTATTATGAAATGGCAGTGGCTAGCCGTACGGGCCCGTATTGCTAGCCAAAGTTCTAAGCCATACCTTAGTCACGTGCGAACGACATTTAAAAAAATGCAAAACTTTCTTTCTTGAGTATCACGAAAACTTTAACATTAACGTTACGTAAATATATTATTTTTGGCGTTTGATGATCGGAAGTTGATTTTGATAAAGTCCGTGCGAAAGTACAGGAGAAAATAAACTGAACATTATTAAATTCATGTCTATAGACGTAATACAGTTGTAATGAATTTTTATCTTGATCACTTTTAATAGCGGACATAGATAAAATGTCTGTTCATGATACAGCGCGAGTTCAGTGCGTATAGGCTAGACGTGCGCGACTGCTTAACTTTTCGCTAGCAGTTTCTCCGTACGGCTAGCCACTTTTCTTATGCCATAAGTGTTTTGTGAAAGTAAAATTAGTATTTCAATATATATTTTTCAATCCATGCTTCACAGAATTGAGCACCAATAGACCTGGCGAGGTAACTGTGAGGAAAACTCCCGATGGTGGACGAAAGATCGTTCAAACTCTTACGATATTTTCGGACACTACGTTCACTGCCAGAACAAATGCCACCTGTGACTACTGTCAGGCGGCTCTTCTCATTGAAAGACAGATGTACTTTATACAGATCTGTACGTCCATACGTGCGACAAAATGTCGCAAGATGAAACGTGCCCCGCTACCTACAAGAGAAGAGTAACTCTTCCGCTGGAAATACAATAACAAAATCTATGTACTGAAAATCTAAAAATTGATAATACATGTATAGTATACTGGAAAAAAGACTGTGTACACATATGTGAACGACGTTGTTTATTATTTGAATAATCAATTTTGCATGCATTGTCTTATTTGAAAATATTTTTCCAGGATAATTATGTTAAGCAAAATAATTTTCCGTTTAGTCAATCTGACGTACTTTTTAACGAAACGTCGTACTTTTAAACGACGTCGTTACCAACGTCAACTTAAACGCCGTCACCAGCAACAGGTGTCGTGTGAATAAAAAAGTATTATAAAAACAAGTTTTCATCGTCCAAAATAATAAAAATTGTTTTCAAATGATTCAGAAAAGATTGCGCTTGAGAATCTCGTTGAAAAAGTGAAAATGTCCAAATTTGACCACTATGTTCGAAATGTCATGTCAGCGCTCATATCAGATCATTCATATCCGATAATGTTTTATAATAACATTCTGAAATATCAGGGTTTAACATACTTCCATGCTACTTCCGAGCGAGTAAAATAAAGTTCTCGTATATTTCGGCGTAAATCGGTGCATTTTTAATTCCGTACAACCAACCGGCTCTTAAAATATCACATATTGGCCCGTGACAAACACGCGACCATTCATTTCCTCTCTTCAACAATTACCAATGGCATTGAATCCCTGTTCTGCCTTCAATCAATACTAACGCGCCAGAAATCTCCAGGCTCTGCAAATGGGTTCTCTCCTATTTTAAGAACTTCAATTTGATTCATAAGTCTAAAACCAAAGCCATGGCAATGTCCTTGCATTTGACTTTTACGCACTACCGCGCCTTGTAGGGCAAAGCTTCCTCTTGTAATCCCGGAACTCATGCCAAACTTGTACACTTCAGTCCTTCGCTTTATTTCATTTGTTTCACAAACTTCACCAGAACTGAAACATAATGGATTACTTGCATCGAACCCTGAAAATAAGACATAAAAATAGTTACAGAGCAATGTTAATTAAATTTTGAGCTATATGCAGTCACGGTCCCCTGTTGGGCGCCAGATATCAAAGGGTGTGGAAAATGTGCAGTCTGACCGGGACTCGAACCCGGGACCCTCAAATCTTTCCGCGGCTTATCTTTTCTGAGCTATTCCCGCGAACAGTTCGCCCCTGTTAGTTCTCAGGGAGAAAAAAACAAGTAAAAAAAAATTCAGGGCGGTAAATTTATTAGGGGAAAAATGAGCCCCATCACCATAGTTTAGTTACTAAAGTTAGTGTATGATATATGATGAATGATAATGAGGCTATTGGAGTAAATATGAGATGAAGAGTTGATGAATATATTTATAAGAAATGCGCTATATATCATATAGGATATGATAATGGTAAGGTATATATACTAGGACGAAAAAGAAACGCCGGGTACATAAATATGCAACACATATTTTATTGCTTGGCCTAAAATAATGAAAATCGGTCAGATTTATATAATGCCCCATGTCGCCAGACGTTTGCCAGCAAATTTCTTGCCAACAGTAAATACACCCACTCGATTGGCCAGCATTCAGTCCAGATTTGTCCCAATTGAACATTTGTTGGGACGAACTGGATAGGAGGGTAAGGAGACGTCCAAATGCCCCCACTAATCATGTCCGGCTCACACATAAGCTCCTTGCATGAAGAATGGAATAACGTCCCATGGCCATGATTACACCCTGTTGAATTCCCCATGCATAGACGGATCAGGGCTGCCACAGGCTGCGCATGGAGGACACACAAATACTGATATGTCCGGCCGTGTTTCGCAAAACAAGAAGGGTCATCGTTAAAAGGGGGTATTTTTCACATAATCAGCATCGGAAATCGATTGAAACTTCAACAGCTGGTTCCATACAGATGACATTTCATACAAAAATGAATATAATAATCCAATAATACAATTTATCCCTTAAAACAATCATTTTAGGTTACCCGACATTTCTTTTTCGTCCTAGTATATATAAGGACAAATGACCCTGTGGTATTCTTCCCCGCTCACTCAAATGTCCTGACATTTCTAATTCTTACAGTCATCTAAATTAATTACAACTACATACCTAGGGTCAGAAGTCTATATACAACGACTTTTTACATAGCAGTCACAAAATATTCCACCAACAGCTATGTTGTTTAGGTTATCATTAACATATAGTTTAAATTAACGTTCAATCAAAAAGAAACGTAAATAATAAAGATTATTTCATACATTCCTAAGGAATGTTTTACAAAATATTTGAATTAGAGTGTTGTTTTATCTTAATACAATAATTACAATAATCACTATATATTTCTTATGTAGTATCAGACATTTGTTTAAACTAATCAGACATGTTCAAATTTTATTTATTCATAATGCAACAATTATCACAATAAATGCAAGATAATAATGAAAAACTAATGCTACATATACTGGCAAATTAAACACTGGAATTCGTGAAGATGTTAGTAAAAGCAGCAGTCATTTAAATGAAAGTTATACGAAACGAAAACATGTTAAATCTTTTAAGATCGTTTAGGTACAAATTCTTCAGCTTTTGGATTGAGAGTAGATGTTCTTCTCTGAGGAATAACATATTTGGGAACATCTTGGCTTTCTGGTGTGTTATCTGACATGTTAGAAGAAGATTCATTTATGTGCTCGGTCTGTACAAGATGCTTGGGGCCATCATTCTCATGGGAGGGGTATAACTGAGCTTTCCGTACAGGCAAACTCATTAAAAGCAACAAAAGATTTCTATGAAGGGTTTTTATGCCACTTCTACCATGTTCTCTTCTAACCTGAAAACAGGTATAGAAGGATAAGGTTGAGATGTCACAATATAAACCTCCTTATCCCACCTATCAGCCAACTTGCTGTTCCCTTTCAGGCCTACATTTCGAATCAAAACACTTTCCCAAGGAAGGACTTTAGCGTCTCTAACCTTAAACTTATATTGGCGCTTATATCGTTTACTTTGACGTCTGGACTCACGATTGGCAACCTTATATGCAAAATGGAGACGTTTCTTTAAAGAAGAAATGTACTCCGAAGGACTTTTCTTGGCTGATGTTGAGTCAGGTTTGAATCCCAGAAAAGCATCAATAGATAACATTGGATGCCTCCCAAACATAAAAAATGAGGCCCGTCACCATACTTTAGTTACTATAGTTAGTGTATGATATATGATAAATGATAATGAGGCTATTGGAGTAAATATGAGATGAAGGGTGGATGGACAAGGAAGAATATATTTATAAGAAATGCACTATATATCATATAGAATATAATAATGGTAAAGTATATATATAATGACAAATGACATTGTGACATCAATAAAGAAATAAATATTGTTAAAAGTTTGTTTTTAAAATCAGTCAGTTAAAAACGAATAAATCCACCAGAAGTTTCGATTGAGTCAGTTTAACTAATCAATCAAGGGTACACATTTCTGCCCTTGAATTTTTTCAATCACACAACATAAACCAGCAAGGTCGTTTATGAATATTATGGGAAAAAAATTAAGTCGATCTCACTCAAATGTTTTGTTTAGAACAGTCTTTGGTTTCTGTATTTTACTGCGTAAGATGTGCTCATATTGTACTCTTTATTGTACTTTGTAACAGATATTGCAACGTCGGTACGAATTAAGATTCATTGATATATTAACAGGGAGACGTGCCAGTTAGTATGCAGCACTTTTCATAAAGTAATTTCAGTTCGAGCCAAAATGCATATTAAAAGATTTATTCAATTTTATTTTTTTAAAAACTAAATTCATGTTGTTTATTTATTTTCATTTGATATTGTTATCAATTAAAATTCTGGTAAAATTGTGTGATATTAATAAATGACTAATTTTTTTGGGAAGGTTATAAAATAGATCAAAGCAAAGGTCATTTCTATTGAAGTTATCGTTTCATTTTCATTATTTTGGTCTCACGTAGTTTTATGGATTACTATTATACAGACCAAAAATTGATCAATAACAAAACTCGAACAATGGCACTTCATTGGTGGAGAAACATTCGTTTAAATTTAGATTTGTATAAAAAGCCGAAAGATATTATAAAGGGGCAATCATTAGTTCATATGCTTTGTCAACTTTATCCAAACAACTGACAAGAAATTCTGAAAACGAAAAAACTTTCTGCTGAAGTCATGCTACCTTTTCATGTCTGTTCTTTCAAATAAGTAAAGGTCCTAAATATGCCTTTGAATGACACAAGCTTGCATTTGAGACATATGCTAAACCACGACATTAATAAAACGTAAAATAGTAGGAACAGATGTTGCTTTTTATCTGGTTTCAATACAATTAAACTCTGCCATTTTAGCAGTAGTATCTTGTGAATTCGGGGTCAAGGGCATATTTCAGCATGTCAAAAAGACTATGTGCAGTTGTGACTAATTTTCAGATACAAAGGCAAATATATAATAATTGATTGAAAATAAAAGTATTCTTACCTAAAACATGTAATAAGAATTTGGTATTTGCTGTTTTACATAGCTGTATTAAAATGTGAAAAGTTTACGTACTTGTTTTTCAATTTTATATTTTCAATTAAGCTTTTTCTAAAAACATGGATACAATCATTATTATATACATGGTATGACTCATAATGTCCTTTTTTTATGTGCTAAAATTCTTTTGTAAATAATATCTCCTTTTGCTAGAGGTCATGACCTCAAATCATTTAAAAGAAATTAAAAAAAATTCTGAAAGTAAATATCTCATCTTGCTAGAGGTCAAGATCTTACGACCTCCCAGCTATTAAATCATTTCTTTAGACATATTTCATATCATGTTCAAATGTTGACATTCCAATATAATTACTTCAATTTCATCATTAAACTATGTTTTAAGAAAAGCCATTACCTCCTGGGACAGCGGCCATTTGGCCCAAAAGCTAAAATTTGTATAATCTTAATAGAGGTTCACTAGACAATTTTCTGTGCTAAATAAGGTTTTAGCTTTGTTTTTAACATTTTTATGCCCCCAGAGGGAGGCATAGAGTATTCACACCGTTCGTTCGCTACATCTCCAAAACCGCTGGGGAATATCAATGAAACTTCACAGGACTGTTTGTCACCATGCTTAGTTGTGCAAATTGTCTTGATTTTCAACTTGATTTGTTATTGACATAACCCAGTTATGGTCCCTCAATGGTATTTTTTAGTAAAATAAGCTTGTCCGAGCTTCATCACCAAAACTGATTTTAGTGAAACCTAACAGGATTGTCTGTCATCTTACTTAGTTGTGCATTCGCTCTTGATATTTTGCTTGTTTTTATGCCCCCAAGGGAGGTATATCAAAATCGCACCGTCTGCCTGTCTGTCCGTCCGACTGTACGTCCGTCTGTGCGTCCCCACTTAATCTGAGTCCGGACTGTAACTTTGTCATACATTGAGGGATTATGAAATAACTTGGTACAAATGTCCACCACTACAAGACGATGTGTCGCGTCTAAAAATCACGTCCCTACCTTAAAGGTCAAGGTCACACTAACATTTTGAAGCTTCACTTTATCACAATAAGAGTAAATAGGTACACATATTTGTGTCCGGACTATAACTTTGTCATGCATAGAAGGATTTTAGAATAGCGTAGCATAAATGTTTACCAACATCCAGACAATCAGTCGCGTCTAGACTCACGTCCCTACCTTAAAGGTCAAAGTCAAACTAGGAATGACACGGAAGTGCCACATTGAAGGTTCCACGATAACCGCCGTATGAACACATCTGCGGATGTTTCTAAATTCAAAATTTTACTATTTCATGTTTAAATGTTGAATTCTGCTTAAGCCGGTGCTAGGGGGCGTGGACGGTAACTCGCACTTTCCAGTACCGTCCATGAACAGGCTCAATCAAACCGAGCCTGCAACATTTTCAATTTTGCCGTGTTGGGCTTTCTTTAGGGATTCTGTATTTATCTATTTGAAGATAAAAATTCATGTCCGGACTGTAATTTTGTCATGCATGAAAGGATTTTAAAATAACTTGGTACAAATGCCTACCACATCAAGACAATGTTTTGCGGCTAAGGCTCATGTCCGTCTGTCCGTCCGTGTGTCCCCACTTACATAACAATCATGTCCAGACTGTAACTTTGTCATGCATTGAGAGATTTTGAAATAACTTGTCACAAATGTCTATCTCATAACAACATTCTGTCGCGTCCAGGAACCACGTCAGGTCAGGTCACACTATATTTTGAAGGTTCACGCTATCAAATTAGAGATTACAGGTACAATAATACAAAGATAGATCAATCAGTTACTTTCATTCACTTTTCATTTCATAATATCTGCATGCTTAAGAAATTTTTTCGGGGTCATTCGTTACCTGGGTGACAGCTCTTGTTTGCACAGTTATGGCCCCTTAATGGTCTACTTTTAGCAAAATATCCAAAACTGCTGGGGGATTTCAGTGAAACATTTTTTTTCAGTTAATTCACTTTGTCTATCCTTTATCTCCAAAAACCACCAAGGCAATTTCAGTGAATATTTATGAAATTGTTTGCATGGCGTCAGGATTTTCAAAGCTAAGTTTTGGAATGTGCCAAGATATTGTGTGTGAATTGTTTTCGCACTTTTCCTGGCCCTTGATGATGAAACATATTTTTTTTAGTAAAATTTATTTAGACTTTACCTCCTACAATCCTAATAGAATTTCAATGACATTTTAGGAATGATAATAATCAAAGGCGGTCGGGCGTATATCACCGGTATTTTATATTGCGGATTTATGGCAAAACTGCTACTCGGGGGGATAAGTCATTTTTTCGGTGACAGCTCTTGTTTCTATATGCATTTAAGAAAACACATTACCCCCGGGTGGAGCCATTGTGACCCTAGGACTATAATTGAAACAATTTTGGTATAGATCCAACTGACAATGCCTTATGCAAAACTATGCCCTAGACCTTCGGGGTCTTTTGCAAGATTTTTTTAAAGAATTTCTTTTGATTGCCATGAAAACCAGATTTCGGCATGGAATCAAATTCTCGAAAACTTTTGACGCCTTTCACCCAAGTAACAATTCTGGCAAGTTTGGTAAAAATTGGACAAAGGAATTCTAACGAGAATATGTTTTAAGTTCACCTTATACTCTTTATAACGCGCACACAAGCACATACGCACGAGCACGCACATATTTAAATGAATCGATAAATGCCACCATATCGCAGATACTGAGGTGGAAAAAAGAGAAATAAAGTAAAAGGACATTGTTTTGCGTAAGGTCTGGAAATTGTTTTTACGCTTTTAATGAAAAATTTATATTCAGTTCCAGACACGCTTATATCTTTTCAAAAAAGAAAAATCAGAATGTTTCATATACGATGCCAGGACTATTTTTCAAAATATTCTTACCTGCTTCATAATCCTTCAAGGTGTCTGGAAAGCTTCCATTCTTCGGCTGTCTTTTTAGTATGCTTACGAGGGCAACTTCCATTCCTGATGTAGAAGGACTTCCTTCATCATAAACAGCTAGAACAACCTCACCAAACTTTGATGAACGTTTACCAATAGGCTGATACACCGTCTTTCTCAAATTATATTGTTTTTTGAATTTAATTTCCATCAGCTCATCAGCACTATAAATTATGTGTGCACATGTTATTCCGCATAATCCATGCATTGGGTGGTCAATAAATCCTCCAAGAGTACCGCCTAAAATACCTTCTCCGTTAAAAACCTTAGCATGTATTGCTAGACCATTCTTAAGATGTTTATGATACTCGTTTGGTCCTTTCACAAATGGTTCGAATTCTCCCTCTAATACATCTGTTGGGAAACCTTCAATATATTTTGGAAAAGGTGTCTCGTTTAGAGGTATACACCCTTTTACTGCAACATATATAGCTATACAAGGTACTTGTTTGATGTCAAGTGTGCCTGTCTCGTATCCAACGGACTTAACCAAGCTTGGCAAAATTACATTAATATTACTATGTCTTTTGAGAAGGTTGTCAGCATTATCGTTTATACATTTTCTAAGCTTTTCAAAAGTCTTATCATCGAGCTGACTCATTATTTCATCTTTTGTCTCGTATTCAGCAACAAGTTCTTCCTCAGTACTGACTTCGTTTTCAAATCTTTTACAATATTCATAATCTTCGAATCCGGAAAATGTGGAATTCTTTTTTAGAGTAACAATAAAAATAATAGATTCATAGCCTTCTTTGTACGACGGCAATACGTCGACAACATTTTTCAGCTTCCTTACACGTTGGCAGATCATAGTGCAAATGTATGAAATTATTTTTGAATTTCTTCCAAATACATGCCACGCCCTGTTCAGTTCACGTTTAGATGGTAAAATATCCCTTTCTAGCAATATGTTTGCGTCAGATTCACTTTTTCTTTCAATACATCTATCCCAGTCTGAAAGGTATATGTTTTTTTTGGTATAGAAATACTAAAATACATTTTAAAATTTGTAACCAGTGGAAATTTAAGTTTTAAAAGCTTCAGCTGAATGAGTAATTTTTAATATAAACATTTTTAAGAAAACAAATTGTTTTAAATCCGCTTACTCAACTTCAAATTTTATGTCAAGACAACACTACGATTTCAAAAAGATAATAGGTACTTAAAACTGAAAAAGAAGAAAAAGCAACAAAAAGGGATAATATGTTTAAAATCGCAGCATTTGCTTTTAAATACTATGCAGACTCGTTTCTTGCACAAGCGGGTTACCGATTAAGATTGTACTTAGCGCTAAAAAACAAACGCTTATGAAATTTCCCCCAACTTCGATCTGGGTAAGTGGGCTTTTAATTAGGTTAAACTTTGTATTTCAGTGTATGAAAATACATCGTTTATGGTTACAAAATGGAGTCTTTTTATGTATGTTTTTTTATTATATTTCGAAAGCTTAAGCTTAAGTTTTCTGTTGTTTTCTTTCTTTCCTATTTTATAAAATGTCTTGACATATTGTCAAGGTCTCTTTTTTACGTGAAGATATCCTTTGCTTATCCTTGGGTTAAATACTTTCATTGCTAGGACAGCCTGTACCAAATCTAATGGGAAACTTTTGCCATCTTTCGACAAAGATTTAAATTTACATAAACTATCAAAGCAATTTGGGGCTGTCATTAACATAAGCTGAGAAAGTATAGACGCTGAAATATTCAGTTTATGTAAAAAAAGTATACATTTGTATTTTTGATATGAAGGTCTAAATCAAAATTAGATTTTTTAAACAAATAAAAGAGTTAGATCTTTAACTAGCAGTTAGATATTTTTTGCATGATTAAAGAGAGCCATGATTGAATCAGTTGATTTTTTTTTTGATAACCGTCCACTTTTGAAATAATTGTTATTCCCTGAAAGTGACTGTTTCTTCCGGAGAAGATACCCAAAACTAAGCAAATGAATTCTTTCCTTATTTTATTTCAAATAACATGTATGTTTTGTAACAAATAATTAATTATCTTTATTCAAAGTTAAAAACAATTAAAACTAGAAGGGTTTTTGTCACCCAACACTATGTATGATCACTCATCTGATGTCCCACCGGTACCTTTACCTGTGAAAGCCGGACAAGATTGATTTTTCTATTATAGCTCTGACGGCCATTTTTTGCAGCAAAACAGAACATGCCGTGATATGCACAACTAGTGATAGTATTGAAGTCCTGTGAATTTTGTGGAAATCCCGCTGGCCGTTTGACATCTGTAAGCCAGACTTGATTTTCTATTTTTAGCTCTGGCAGCCATTTCGTGCAGCAAAGCAGAATGCACAACTACGGATTGTTTGGTTGAAATCCTACCAGTAGTTTGACATGTGAAGGCCGGACAAGCTTTTCTATTTTTAGCTCTGGCGGCCATTTTGTGCAACGAAGCAAAACATGCTGATGATGTGCAAAACTAGGAATGTTGCAGAGCACTCTTGTAATGTTTGGTTGAAATCCCACTGGTAGATTGACCTGTGAAGGCCGGACAATCTTAATGCGGACAGACAGACATCCAGACGGACGGACAGATCGACAGCGATGGCAAAAACAATATATCTCCCAAAAATATTCGGAGACATGAATAAAGATTGCTATATTTTAATGTGTGTAAACGTTAACACACATCATCTTTCTTCTAAAAGGGCATCTTTCATAGAAAATTAATACATTGTATCATTTTTCATTTAATCTGTCTAATTGGTGTAACTATTAAAGGCAATATCTGTTGTTTCTTCAACCTAGTAGCACATTCAAGATAACACATTGTACTTTCATTGACGTTTTTTTTCCAAATTGCCTCGAAACTCCTGTCTTATTTATTCCTGTTCTAGTACTCTAACATCCAGTTCATGGATTCTGAAATATTTCATTATTTTAGTTAATAAGAAGGAACTCAATTCTCGAAATAATGGTGACAAAATAATGTAAAAAAAATTAGGTCAGCCACAATAAATAACAGTATCAACACCGAAAACATTAAGGCAAAATCGTTAGTCAATTTAAGAAGATAAAACATATGTATATCGTATAATGTATTAATTAGTTATTAGCATTGTCAGAATTTTCGAACCTTTTGTAGCGTACAAGTAAGTTTTTGTACCAAAGCCCATCGTACTCATAAATATTTTTGCCAGCAAGACGTCAATAATTATATCCAATACAACTCAATAATGAGTATCATTTTAGTGATAAACCTTTCCGTGCTCACCCTTGCGCCATGTCTTTTTTTAGTTTTGGGTCCTCCTGGGCTCCTTGCCGCTGATTCTTGTTGCTGTTGTATGGGGTTTGTGTTCATTGTACGCCGCCGTTCCTTGTTGATCTTGTTTATCATATTCTTTATAAGTTGCAAGTAAAAATAGCAACTAACATTCACACTGTGTGCTCTTGTCTTATTATTTTTTCGCGGACACGTATCGTGCCTTTTTCCGTATCGTACTTTTTCACCACGCTTAAAAAAGTATCGTACCTTTATAAGTTGGACCATCTGCCTTAGTAGATTCGAGGTACATTATGGTTGTCCGTATAAAAAGCATGCATTGTCTCCAAATATCGTCAAAAGTTTTACATACGCTAATTTGAAAATTTCCATGCGTTCATGAAAACAAAAATAGAAGTATTTACATTTAATTTGCTGATTTAGGAGAAATTATGATGGTAAATACGTATATCCTTTTTTAAAGTAGCTACATTATGAAACTTTAAAGCGTGCACCTGGGGTAATCCTTGTCGATTGCAAAATATGAAAAACAAGACTTTTTTATAAATCAAGTTAGAGACCATATAATACCCTCAATGAAACATGCCTTCTGTGTTAATTAAAGATGAAACACATCAATATTCTTTTTATTGTTTTGCTGGGTTTTACATTGCACCGACATAAAATAGGTCATATGGCGTCTTTCCAGCTTAACTGGTTCAGGAATACCTCAGGTGCCGATTCCATGCATTATTTCAAGCACGAACATGAACTGAACCATTGACGTTCCGTACACTATTTCGACAGCTTTGAAGTCAACACCCTAACCACTCGGCCACGAACTCCCCACATTGATATTGATTTACCTGTAATTATTCTATACGGATCAGTAAAGGCATGAAGAAAAGGTCTGAAAAGTTTTAGTCGCTGCCGTTTATTGTATGTGTCCCATTTTAACATTTAAGTTAATTGTTGTATAGATATTTAATACAACGTTACCACAAAAGAACGTTTAAACTAAAAGTAAAAAATCGTAAAATTTCATAACTGCAGTTTTTTGAACTCACTTAATAGCATAAGGTGTTGTGACCTACAATTCTATTGGTAAAGCATATGGGTAAAAACGAATTTATATAGCTACACCGAAAAGAAATGTTTTCTGTCAACTTATGTTAAACATTGGGATAGTTTATCTTTATTATCAATAGGTTATTCATTACAACAAAGTTTAAGAAAATAATATTTGATTCTTTTAAGATAATTAGCATGTATGACGTGAACTGTCCATCTTTACCTCTTAAAAACTACTATGACGTCATTTCTTTGTTCTGACCGTACTGTATTTTAATACAGTACAGGTAATTGTCCAATATTAATGTGTAAGTCAAATATTAATTGTGTAACACATTAGTATCAGTCTACGGGTTGTGTAGTGAAAGAAGCTTGTATGACTACATAATTTTGGGGGAAAGTATCTAATAAAATATAATAAAAGATTAATCAAAATGAAATTTCTTATATCAGAAGTTTACACCTTTCCTTCGGCCATCGCGCATTTTACAGAATTCCACGAAATAAACAATAATTGTCAGCTGTCGATGGTTTGTTTGCTCATTTTACGGATTCTATCTTGAAGCCTACTGGTTTTCTAATTCACTTTAGCGAAAGGTTGTGGAACGTCAGTAAGGAAATGATTTTAATGAGTTTGCTTAATTTGTTGTGTATTGTCCGTTTAAAAAAATACATTTAGTCAACAATCATACTTGATTTGCTTCATTGTTCGTACGTAATGTTTCAGTAAGGTCATCTTTTCAAATAAGTGAAATGGTCAGCTTTTCAAATAAATGTAATAGAGGACATAAATCCATCTATTTAAAACAAAAGCGGTTATATATGTTTAACTTATATATACAGTGTAATATAGAAACGATTCCAGGCTCACTATATTGGAATTAATTTTTACAAGTTCTTATATTCCGTTAATAATTGTCTACATGTTTGGTTTCTTAGTAATAGAAAGAGCACCGAAACACGAGGCTTTCTGATTTGTACGAGGGGGCGTAGCCCCCGAGTATAAATCAGATTGCCGAGTGTTTTGGTGATCTTTCTCTTTTGTATCATAGTCAAACATAAAAGCACGTTCCCTGTATCACAATATGAAACCCCGGCAAAAATGAACCAATGAACGAACATCTGGATATGACATTTCTGTCGCTTTCCCTTTCTCTGCCGTCACAATATGTAAACCCCAGCAAAAATGAGCCAATCAATGGGCATGCCCTAGAGTGCGGGTAACTAATACCCGCACTCCAGTTAACGCACTGTGCATGTATATGTATACGATTTAACCCTGACACATTTTAAACAGAAAGGTCTCCAAACTATGATACAAGAGTAGGTTAAACCGAACTAGTGTATCAATTCTCTGCATTCATACTAATGTGTTTGAGGTACTTATCCTAGAAGATGCGATTGTTTACGCAGTGATCGATCAAAAAAAAAAAGTGATCATATGCTTAAAATATTTAGATATTTAAAATAACAACAATTTTTGAAATTATTAAACTTTGTCAAACGTTGGTGAATATATTAATAAAGGGATCATTTGGTCTAGAAAAATGGTTATGATTCGAAACGATTTCCGGTTTCAAAAGATTATATGTATTAAACTTAATACTTTAGACGACTAAAGTTGAATTATTTACAATATAACATAAACAACGGTTTACAAAT